TATAAAAATGTTTATGAAGACATATCTGTGAGAGGAAGATGAATGTGTCAGACAAAATCACTTGAATTTATAATTAGAAATATTGAAATGAAAATTATTTTATCTTACTCTGCATTTTTACAGACCAAAATGAACTGGGAGAAGGCAAACTTCAGTTTCATTCTATTTTTGTCACTAAGCAAGTCACTAGGTCTATCAATAACAGTTAGATCACATTCCCATTAAATTATCCCTGAGGGAGATTGCTATTGAAAGTTTTCTTTTTCAAATTTGGTGTTCTGATTATCATAGAAGTCATTACTGAGTCTTTTCATTGTACAGGGTAGCCTAACAAAGGTGCACCCCATGCTCAATGCCCACTGCCTAAAGTTATTTCCAAATTGTGAATGTTATAATTTTTAAAAATCCTGTGAAGTTCTCCAAATGTTGCTGTTTTGCATGCATAAATTTCTACTAATACTTCTTTGGGCGTAACCTGTTCTAAGAAAAATAACTTTGTTCTGAGAGGTATATAGCTAACTTTGCCTTATCACTTAAACTAGACAAACTGTATTGTGTATACCTATTCAGGCTTATACCCCCGTGTTCAAAAACGATATCACATAAAATTGAGTTTTATTTTATCAGCATATAAAATAAATCATTATTATTAATCTGATAACAAATCTCCTTCAGCAATTCTTGGATTAGATATCTTCTAGAAAATGCCCATGTTACTATATTCTGAATTATCTAAAAAAAATTGAATAGACTTATAATTCTAGTTAATATCCCAATAGCCTTATTTTGATATTCCTAATTTCTTTATTTTATTAAATATTAGTTCCTTCATTTGTTCTGAAAATATATTCTGGAATCATTACAGTGCATCACACTTTGATTTTTGTAGAGCAGGTTAAAAGCTTTTCTGCTATAAAATCCATTAAGTTCCCACATTTCAAGCTATGACATTTTCATAACTAATTTATGAGGCTTAATTAGAATTGATATATAAGGGTTTCTTAGTTTCATGAACATGGAAGTGACAGAAATCATTGATGTTAATTATTCTGCTAATAAGTTCTTGGAAACATCCCTTTGATTCCATTTCTTAAATCTAAAAAAAATCCATATTTAAAAATCTGAGGTTATGTGTAAAAATAGACACAATCTACATGGTTATTTTATTAGATAAATGGTATGTTAGAAACAGCACTATAAGTACTTTATTTCATTGCATACATTAAAATTTAAATATAGCTCTTCACCTCTTTTGTTATGTATGACTTCAAGGAAGTTTAAATTTATTTTCAAATTGCTTTCCTTTTCAAATACTGTGGGATGACTTATCACCAAATACTGTTTTTTATTGTTATTGAATTTCTTTGTAATTGTTATTAGGAAAAGAAAAAGAAGAAAATAATTGAACACATTATGTTATACCCCTTGTTAAGGTTATATAAAGCCATAACTACTTTTGAAATTTTAAAACACTGGCTATAAATGTTACTATTTAAGACTAAGTTCCCATAAAATATCTTTTGATTCTTATTTTATTGTTTGTAATAAGATAATTACAAATTAACTTGTTCTGATTCACTTCTATTGATTTTTCTTATATTAATATTGAATAACAATAAATATAAAAACTTTAAATTTTCTTCATTTAGAAAAGATCAAAGTTCATCAGGCAATGTTTTGCAAATCTAGAAATATTTTAAGGAACAGATAATTAAAAATATTATTTAAGGATTTTTCTTCAAAAGTTACTTTATATTTAAATCAGAGAACTGCTCTGAGATAAATTGGAGTTTACTATAAGGCACAGTCTTCCCACGTTAGCAGAAGTATTTTTTTACATGGTTAACTTTCACGTTTGTATCCAGTCACATGCTTAGTTATAAGCACAGTGCATAGTTTTAAACCTAGATTTCTATTAATATTTTATCATCTACAACTTTTTGCACCGTTTAGTCATTGAACTATATTTACGGTATAAGAGTCCATTTGCTGTAACTTGCTATTTTTTTTTTAACTGTGACACTATTTTGTCCAAATTTCTATCATTATTTCATTATATTTAAATCTTTCTTGATGTGAGGATATTTATGAGAGTCTCCCAAAAGAATGGGATTTCTGAGACAAACAGGATAGTCATATTAATGACTCTTGATCTCTATGCCTGATTGTTTTCTAAAGAATCTGGGACAATAAAACTAATAATGCACTTTAAAAATCCCCCAATATTGAATTTTAACATTAAAAAAAATCCTTCAATTTTGTTGTGAAGCATAGTATGACCGTGGTTTACATAGTTACTTTCTAATAAATGTAGTTACAATAAAATATATGATTTTTGACAAATTATTTTATGACACTTAAAGCATTATTAGAACTATTAAATAATATTTTCAATGTGAATAAACCTATTTATTAAAATGATGAACTTTTGTGGGTTATAATTTTGTAAGATTATCAGTCTAAGATCATTTAGTTATCTAAATCCTTATTTACATCCATCTCTTTATGGTACCACAATAGTAATTACTACAAATAGAATGTTTTTACCTTCTGTTTTCTTGAGCACACACATTCCCCACTGACAGAAACTCCCAGGAAATAAGCTGTGCAATAGGTATCATCCAGAACCATAATATTTTAAATATAAATATAGCAAAATACAAGGTCTTTTCAATGCATCAAAAGGAACATTGAAAATTTATACTTAATGATGATTATTTCACACTTTACAAAAAAGTAATCTAATAAAGAAATGAAAAGCATATCTATTGTTTTTCAGGTCATAAGGATGTTGAATGGCACACATTCATTATTAATGCCCCTTGCAAAGGTCATAATCTGCTTTTATGGTTAAGAGAATTGTCTGTGAACCAAGACAGAATAGGGTTTAAATGCTTTGTGACCCTGAGCAATGTATTAACTCCTCAGCAGCTCATCTTTCAAATAAACATAGAAATGAACACACCAATATAATATGAATGTCCAGAGTTTAGTTTCCTCCTGCACTTCATTGTTCATTTTATTTAACTACCTTCATTCCATCAGTATTAGCTAGATTCTTCTAAATGAAATAAATACTGCATGTAGCATGTGTGTGTGTGTTTAAATACTAAAACAGATAGTTTTCTAAATGATTGTATTAGTGAACATGACTTATAGCAAATAAGTTGCTGAGTATTATTGAGATACTCAGCTAATATTGCAAAGCATCACTACACAGAGAAAACAATAAAACCTATTATCTTCTCAAGTGATAAAAGTACCATCTGCATTCATGTTTGTATTCTAAGAATTTAAAAAGCACATTTATATTGCACTAGTAGTGTTCTAAAGATTCAGATAAATAATCTGGCTTTTTAATTTGGAAAATTTTGTCTGACCAAAAATAACAGAAAGTGATTTTAATTGTTGTGAGAATTGTTAAATTTAATCATAATTTGAATTCAGTATGTATAGTATGCATTTTTAAAGAATCTTGAAGTATGTGACCAAGGTAATGTGCAAAGGAATACTTTGAATGTTATGATAAAATTGAATTGCTTCATAATTTCACTTTTTAAAATAACTATTTAGATGGCTTGAGGTAAGTAGCTTTGTCTCTACCATGTCCATGATATTTATACAATAGTGAAGTCTAAGAAAGTCTCTTTTATTAAAATAAGATATTCACATTCTACTTTTAAGAATATAAATCTTAAATAAATGCCTAAGAAGAATTTTTAAAAAGTAATTAAATCTATAAGAAGGCAAGGGAACAAGAACAAGTAAGCTGAGACCCACTGTATTTTGAATGCACTTTTATGTCTGAATTGGAACTCAATGGAGCTTGTGAACCATTAACTTCAATTACCCCCCAAATCCCAAACAAACCCTGGACATTGTAAATCTCACTCATTTTAAACTCAGGGGGGACTGGAGTAAATGGACTTCGAATTAACTCAACCCAAATTACCTAATATTAAAGCATAGTTGGAATTTAGTTGCTTTAAATTATTTGCTAGCTTTGTGCAAAGGCAGAATAGATTCCTATACTGAAGTTTATTACAATTTTATCTGTTCTTGAAGTTTTGAAATATTGTTTTTATAATGAATCATTCTGAGATTGAGAAACTAGGGAAATTTCATGTTTCTATATGTTTCTGTAAAATTGGGCAAGTTTTTATTTATTGTATTTTGAATTGGTTGCCAATTTCCAAACGTAGAAGTATAAAACATGAAGTATACCTCATCCTATGTTATTTGTAATAAAATTATAATTCCATATTTCTCAGTCTCTTTCTACAATCATGCCTGTAGCAACAAGGCAAATATGATGTTGTTACTGGCCTAAAAATAAGAATGTAAATATAGCAAAAACAAGAAGTATGCTGCAAAATGAAAGAGTCTAAAAATAAGAACACATTTTCAAAAAAAAAATGTTGAAAAATATTCCACTGTCTAGTAGTCTGGTATCATTATTCCCATGTACCTGTAACAACTAGTCACTGCTTGGAAGTATTATATCATTATTTTTGTGTTATTTGTACCAGACTTTATTTATACAAAATCTAATCATTTTGAGTCAACCTTTCATCAGTGCTCCTTTTATTAATATCTTATGTAAAAAAAATGTTAATACTAGGATAAATCATCATGCATCCTTTGTGCCTCCAAGTTTATCAACAGTAAACTGAAGAAAAGATCATAAAATTTAAGCCAATCCATGTTGAACATCAGTAACATACACATACAACATGTTAATACTTATACCTGAGAAAAAATGTGCTTTGAAGCCTTTCTTGGATACGGTATTGTCAGATTTGAACTCAATCCTCATGTTGTTGTACTGGGATGTGATCACTTCCGGCACTTCTGCGCCACAGAATTTGCCATGCAGTTTAGAGTCAGAGGATAGACCACTCCAGATCTCCACATAATCGTATTTGCATACCTGGAAAAAAACCACAGTGGTCCTAGTCACTAGACCAATAGAACCAGATGATTGACATTTATTTGAGAAGTATATCATGTTTTTACCTGTTTACTCCCATGGTAGTCAAACTGGAAATGACAGGTTAAAGAAAATCAAGAACATGGTTCAACTCTGAGATAAAAAGTATGAAAGATAGAGAATTTTGTTGTAAGTGTCTTCTAGATTGTATATACACTGACATGCTTGTTTCTTTGTAACAAGTGAATATATTTTTTCAAAAAAGATAAAATCATACAGAGATTTCAGATGAATATTTGTTGAGATGATAGTGATGATGGGCAGAAGAGCATCAGTTTGTCACTTTTTCATTTTTTAAAAACTTTTTATTTCATTTTATTTATTTATTTTATTTACCAAGGATTCGACTCAGGGGCACTTGACCACTGAGCACATCCCCAGCCCTACTTTGTATTTTATTTAGATACAGTGTCTCACTGAATTGCTTAGTCCCTTGCTGTTGCTGAGGCTGGCTTTGAACTTGCAATCCTCCTGCCTCAGCCCCCTGAGCTGCTGGGATTACAGGTGTGCACCACTACTCCTGGCTTCATTCTCTGATTCTTTTTTTTTAATTGCTTTAAATTTCAAAAGGAACTGCAAAAGTATTTATATAGTATTCTATTTTCTACAAAACATGACAGGTCATGTACATAATATTAGTAGATTGAGTCTATCAAACACTAGCAACAGAAGTAATCCTTTCCATTGTAGAGATGAGAAAACTGAGGTTCAGAATTTTTTTATATAACTCGTCCAAAATATAGTTATCAAACATGGAGTATGGGGGTGGACAGAGTCTGTTCTGTGTCATGGAAACATGACAATCTGATCATAACAACACCATTACTCACTTTCAAAGGGAAAGACAGACCCTTGGTATATAATAAAAAAGTCAGTTTCCTTTCAAATTTATGAAAATTACTGATGTTTCTTAATTTTTTCAAGTTTGTAGGTTTGCAGCTGGATCACAAACCAATAGCAATTCTGTTCAGTGGAATGGAAGCAGGAATATATACCAAATTGAGATCTACTCATTCTGATTTATATGTAATACACTAACAATACCCAAATGGAAGAAGGCAAGTGAGTGCCAGGTAGTCTTAAGCAATTTATGGCTCTCAAATGTTCCATGATACACTTTTCCAAAGTTCCAACAGGGCACATTCTAAAGAACACATCTTACATGAATGACCTTATTACATAAATGTGTAATTAGAAAGGTTTAACAATGCACACGATTGAACCCTGGGGCATGATGTGTTCTTTGAACTATGTCAACTCAAATTACTGGTGATATTAATTAGGTGATAAATAAGCAAAATGATGCTAGGAAAAATGAGATAACTTTTCTACTTACTTTGTTAAAACTGAGATTTTTGTTTAAAGAGGTCTTCAGTATATTATAGGAGGATACTTATAGGGCTAAAGTTCTTTCTCATTGACTTTCCTTTGGTATCTCAGTATAAAGAAGAAAATAATGAAGGTTTAAACTTAACCCATTATTCTGAAATTCAAGTGTTTGCTCAGGCCTCTGATCATAACAGCATAGATATTCAGAAAACATGCAGAATTCTGTGATGGCTTCTCACATGGTACCACCACTATTAACAGAGTTCTAGGATATGTTAATAAAGTTTGTAAAGGGTCCTTATGTGAACTATGACCATTATTATGAGAACAATGCTTTTAGAAGACAGTGCCCCATTTATGTAAATCACTGCCCTCCTTCATCCTGAATGTAAATCTCCTCTAGTCTTCTCAGAAACATGTACCAATTAATGAATTCAAAATATCTCATTTACTGCAACTAATAGCGTTAGGGAAAACTATGAGAGTAGAAGTCATTCAATACTCAGTTCATATCAAATTACAGAAATTGATAGAGAAATCCCATTTTCAAGAATTTTAACTCAATAAAAGCTTTTCCAAAAATACCATAAAAATTTTGTCTTCATTTTAACATTTCCCCAAATTTGAAGTAGTCACAAAAGGAAAAAGATGTTCCATTTGGATAAAATATATTAAAAGGATAAACTGCAGTATATCCCATCATAAAACTCATACATAATGTTAAAAAAAAGCTCAAAAGGTCCATTGAGTTTTAAGATTCTACAATCATCTAAAATGTATAAATTCAGACTTTAGTCTCCTTTAAAGGGGAACAAAAGTCATCTAACTATTGTGTAACAAAACCCTAGAAAGAGATTTTTAAAATGCACAGAAGTACTTTGGCTACTACAGACAAACAGATTAAAAAGAAGGAAAAAATAGGAGGTTAAAAAAAGAACAGGCAAAGATAAGTATATAAAAGCAAGATTATATGTAAAATCCACAAATATTCCCAACAATGACTGTCCCAGATATATTTCTGTTCTCATACTTTATGTTTTGACAGAAATATAATAAAGACATAATAATTTTTATGAATTAATTTTATCATATTTAGAAGTGTTAAATCATGTTCATTGAAGAGTAAGCAAAACTGAAAAGCAGAAAAAAATAAGAACAGAAAGTAAGAACCACCAAACAAAACAAGTGTTTATCACCTTTTCTCTTGAATTAAATCAGCGTTGACCAGGAAAATTTTTGAAAGGTTCTTATTTCCGAGCTTGACATCCTATTTGAATTTAGTGTGTATTTAGTGTGTATTAGCACAAAGGATTTTTCAAACAAATGATCTCACTTATTTTAGTGTGACCACCTGACAGAAAACTATACCTTTGCAATGTATGCTACATTTTGTAAAGAAAAGATAGTGTCAACTAAGTACATATGTTACTGAGGCTAAAAAATAAATATTCCTTTTCTCTTCTTTTGCAGTGCTGGGCACTGAACTCAGTAGGTATGCAGTGAGCACAGTAGGTATGCAGTAGGTATGCAGTAGGTATGCAGTGAGCACAGTAGGTGTGCAGTCTACCACTGAGCCACATCCCCAGTCCATTCCCTTATCGATGAACCAGGAGCAAAATTCGTAATGAAATGCCACATGGAGAAGAGAACAGAACTACAATGTATCACTGTCCCCGGGACAATGATTATTGGGACCATTTGTGGGCTTTATACATAATTTTGTTTCAGCATATCAATTTTTGCCTCTTCTTGTTTATAACCTCCAACTTTTCCTTCTTTCTAATTATTATTTCTCTTAATTCTTCATTAATGGAAATATATCCATTCCTACGAACAAAATGTTCCACATTCTCCCATACTTATATTTTTGTGTGGATCCTGGTGTTAGTTTTTTTTTTTTTTAAAGAAAGTCTATGTGGCATGAAGTTGACCTTAAATACTCTATAATTATTTAATAAATCAGGAAAATAGTGTGTATTAAATCTGCTGAATAAAAACTCCCTCTGGCTGATTTTCAATCTCCCAGAAATTGTCTAAAATATCATCCAACATCAACAATTATAATCAGTTGCAGAAATGAGCAACAACACAAAGAAACATTACAACACCTACATCATTATAATAGATCCTTTTTTCTTTTTCTTTTTTTTTAATCTTTGCCAGTTTGCCTTAGTAATTCCCAAAGTATGATTCAAATGCATGGTATGTATGGTTCACTTACTTCATTCCCTTCTAATTCAAAAAACTCAAACTTCATAGAAATTCTGTATTGAGTTGGTGCAACCACTTGCCACACACAATTTTTGTTGGGAGGGTACTCTTTAGGCCAGCCAGGGGTAGTGATGGTGCCATTGAGCTTGGATAGAAGTCCTCCACAAGCCGCTAAAAAGAAGGAAAAGATTTGTTTAATAACATCACCCCCTTCTGACCCCCCTTTCCACTGGTACCTTAGCATCCCAATGTGAAATTTCAACCATCTTCAGGATTTAAAAATCTAATAAATGCACTCTCTGCTCCTTAGCTTTTAATACAACTATTTTAATCATCAAATCCCATTTATAAACTGCTATCTTATAGCTTTAGAACAAAGTAAATTATGACTGTACTACCACATTTTAAATCACTTGAAAGTTGGTCAAGCAATATAAAATGTGTTACTTAACTTTTAAATGAGTATAATGACTAGCATAGTGTCTTGGCTACTATAGAATTAAGAAAAAAACATTTTTTTCTCAAGAATTGATAAGGCTGTTGTGGGAATTAAGGAAAGAAATGTACATCGATAGATAGATATCATAATATGGTTTTTATGGCAATAAGACCCAAATCAATTATCTATTTTCTCAAACTATTTTTTCCAAAACAAGTAATGCTATTATCTAAGCTAACAAGCAAGATAAATTGTGGTAAACAGAACATACTTGTTCCAAAAAAAAAAAAAATCTACTTAACTGGTTTTCTTTCCTTTGGGATGATCTATTTATATTTCTTCTCTTTCCTATTGATACCAAAATTTGCAAAATCATGTTTTCCAAAAGCAAATTGAAAGAAAAGGACATATATTGTGCACAGTATAATTAATTAACTCCTAGGGAGTCCAAATTTACATAAAGATAACTGGCCTCTTCTTTGCCTTTGTGCACATATGCATGTGCATATATATTGCCATATTTATGAGTATGCAAAAATACTACCTGAACATTCACTTTTATCAGTTTTGGGCAAATGACCATGAAGTAAAATGTTTGTTTCTAGGACCCACATATAAATAATGGTCATGTTCTTTTATGATTGATATACATTGTTCTCTTCTGAAATAATACTGCATCTACTTTGTAACTATGTCATTTTCATTCTAGGAGAGGAGGATTAGTAGTTTAACAGGTAGGATGGAGACTTTTGAAAGCCAGACAAAGTTCAAACTCACAAGAAGAAATAGGGAGACTGATTTTTTTTTTTAAGAAATAGGCCATCAAGGGTGTGACACTTATTCCTTAAGCAAACAGTTTTGCTGCTTTTGCCACTTTCATCCTGTTACAGACACAGTGGAGAACAAGGTGCTCACTTTCCAGAGACTTGCTTCTTGGTGAGCAAAACACAAAATAAATTAGTACATGAATACAAATAATAGTAAATTGCTACAAGTTCTAGGTAGATAAATTTAGCAGAATTTTTAAAGAGAGATAAAATAGAAATTGACCATAGGAAGGAAGAACAGTCAATTTCTTCCATCTGTTAATGAAGGTCTGTAAGAGGGTGGAGGAGGGAAGGTGAAAAAGAGGGAGCTTTAAATTCCTAGGAAAGGGATCTTAAGCCATGGGAACAAAACACTGTATGGCAAACCTCACGTTAAATCGTGAAGGGAAAATGCAGAAAACCATGACAAGTGATGATTTAATAAATCATATATTCATAAAATGTGCATTTAGCTTTAACTGTGCTAGATGTTAAAGATACAAAGATGGTTCAGATTCTGGCTTGTCATCTTAATAAGGGAGACATTCATAGACTAGGTTTAAAAAAAAGATAAAAACAATGATGAATAGACCAATGGATGGATGGATGCATGGAGGGATGGATACAAAACTAGATCTAGATAGAGATAGAAATCAATATGTATGTATCTATCTATATCTATCCATCCACCCATCCATCCATCCATTATGGGCCTGGTGACCAAAGGAGAAAGGGACTGATCTCTAACAAGAATCCAGGCAAAGATTCACAGCAGCCCTGACTGTGAGTGAAGTGAACACGAAGGAAAGAGAGAGACAAGAGAATGAGAATACATGAAGGAAAGGGATGGGCAGGGGTCTCCAGGCAGGCAGCACTGTGGCAATCCAGCCCTACCCTCGCAGCTTCTCCGGTCAGGCCCCAGTTCGTAGCCAGGCTCGCAGGCGCACTGGTAGCTGCCCAGAGTGTTCAGACAGCGCTGCTCACAGCCTCCTCGGTCAGGTTTGGCACACTCGTCCTCCTCTATAAAAATGGTGAGAGATACAGAACAAGTAGAGCATTTTGTCTTTACATGGTAGGGTGCAAAACTTTTTGTAAATATGATGCTTACTGGCTCTAAATAAAACAAAGACGATTCATTTCTTTGGGAAAGGAGCAGGAACAATGTATAAGCCCTTGATGGATCAGACCTTCAGAAGGCTCATGTCTATAGCCTCCTAAGAATTGTGGAAGAACCAAGAGAAAACTAGGACAGGGTCAATGGAAGAGTACCTTCTCCAAGACACAGTGTGTGTGTTTGTGGGTTTGTTTTTTTTTCCCTGAATTTCAGGTCAAATGAGACTGTCAAATCTTAGAGGTTGTTCAGAATGAAATAGAAAAACTTACTGAAAAAGCATAGTTTTCCTATTAATTTCATAGTATAATTTGCTAGATGAATCTCAAAAAAAAATGATTCTAGGGGCTACTGAAATATAGTTCAGTGATAGAGTACAAGCTTAGCATGTACGAGACCAGCCTGGGGTCAATCTTCAGCATCATACACACACCTATAAAATTATTCCTTCATATTGGAGATTGAACCCAGGGGTGCGCTGACACTGAGTAAAAATCCATCACTTTATATTTTTTATTTTGAGACAGGGTCTCGCTAAGTTGCAGAAGGTCTTGCTAAGTTGCTGAGTCTGGCCTCAAATTTGCCATTCACAGACATAAAAAGTTTTTTAAAAATATCATTATTAAGAAATATTATGTGGCAAATATGTTATAAATTAATATTCTAACAAATAAAAAACTCAGAAGTTGACTGGATCTCTTTAAAGTGTTTACTATAAATACTTATATTCACTGTTTCTTATAAGGACATTTTGATGCATAACATAATAATTCAATATTTTCACAAATGTATATGCTACTTAAACTGTATATGAAAATGTGTGAAAAATAGATACTATTTTTAAAAATGTATATAACAGAATACTCCATATCTTGCTTTCCAGAAATAACTTAATGTGAATTAGGCAAATTGTAAAGATCCTCTGGTGAAATTATCTATCAGCAAGACACTAAGTATTTTTGATAACCAAATATACATAAATATCACAGGAAAAATGTTTGGCAGCCCAATTTTTTTCTGTGAAATATAACACGTACAGAAAAAATTTTACACTTTGATTGATTCATATAGTTAGAGCATCAAGTTTTTCTGTATTTCAATTCATATGATGAATACTTAAGTAACTCTCAGGGATAATTCATTTACTGTTGTTCTTGAAATAAGGAAAATATTTAGATGTCTATCAATAAATTTTGACATATACATATTGATTGCTTCATTTATCCTATAAAAAGCAGTGTAGAGATAATTATTTGCTCCACTCACAGGAAATTTTATTCAACAATGACACACTTAATATAAATGTCTACGAATTTCCCATAGGCATATTTGATGTTTCTATTTACACAAAAGTAGTTTTCATTTTACCTTCATAAAACACATCAAATATGTGAGATAAAAATAAAGTTGCAATTATGCAATTCAAAATTAAAGCTGATCAGCAATAATCGCTTGTCATAAGACATTTTAGGCATCAGAAGATGTAAATTCTTTCCAGTGTGGAAGAACACCATTCTGGAAGTGATTCTTTAGACATGCTGGCACTTGGAGATAAACTGATGTGTCAACTACATCTCAATAAATTCCCTTCTGGTTACGGATTCTTTGTTTATTACATGTATTCATGTACTGTAAATATTTTCTTCCTTTCTAAATTTTGTTATTTTGACTATTTCATAAAGAACATATGGTAGCCATCTTAACAGCGTCTCTACCCTGTGCTACGAAGTTCCAAACTCCAATATTTCACTAGTTACCTTTCCCATCAAAATTCACCACCAAATATCTTTATAAACAGAGCATACTTCAACTTTTAATACAACCACAAGCCAGTTTTTCCCCAACTTTAAGATAAATAATACAATTCTCCCTGAAAAAGAAAATCTCATGTTTGCACATTACTGCAAATTACCTTTGAAAAAGTTAGCAGCAAACCCTGCCTTATTCACAGTTCCGTCAGAAACGAATTTCATCCACAAGGTATTGGAGGTAGATCTTATGTCTTCAGGTTTATCATAACCACAGAAACGACCTATCACAGGGCTATTATCGCTGTTTCCATCTCGAACTTCTAGGTAGTCATAGGCACAGTTGTCATGTCTTTCAATCTACAATAATAAAAATTTGTGAACATGACCTCATTAATACATAAACAATTTTATAGGAAGATTATTATGTACTCAGTGCCATAGAACTGACTTGTTAATACAAAAGTTACTTAAGTGAGTGCAATAAGTATTTCTCACAAGTGCACATGTTGCATTTGAATAAAGGACTTTTAAAATTTTTAAATTATATGGAAATATATCCACGTGAGTTAGGACCACCAGGAAAATCTGAATGGAAAATCTGATAATATGTGATGACAGTATTTCATTGTGTATAACATTCTTTATCCATAATTAGCATGGCTGGGTATAGAAAGACTTCTATCTTGTAGAATCAGCAGTGGTTTCTATTTTTAAAAAAACAAACAAAAAAAACAGGGTCTTACTAAATTGCTTAGGGCCTCACTTAGTTGCCAAGTCTGGCTTTGAACTTGTGACCCTATGGCACAGCCTCCCAATTCTCTGGGATCTGTGATCTTTCTTTTTCTCAAGGTAACATGGTCTTGTCTGGATGAGCCCTTTTACATTGACACACTCTTTTTAACTCCCATAAATTCCCTTTTCTTAATGACTAAATGCAAATATTAGATCAGAATGTCAGCCTGACTCTTGTTCATGAACCTGACACTTCATAGAGTACTCTTGTTCATGAACAATCTGGCTTCTCAAAACAACAGACCAAAAAATGTACAAATTACTAGAAAAATAATAAGACAAATTCTGAATAAAATTTTTACTTTTAACTTTGTTTTTCATAAAAATTGGGTATTATCCCTGAAGTCTCAACTGTTTATTAGGTATTTAAAGCTATAAAGGAAAGGCATCCATAATTTAAAAACCATGAATACTATTACATCTTGTCAACTACTATTCAACATATAGTTCATTAGTTGATGGAGTTCTCCCATTATGAAACTAATATCAGAAATTCTATTTCTTTTGGAATTAGATTCATTCAGAGAGTTACAATCTGAATGCATGAAACTGCTTATATAGTTGGTTGAAAACTCCTTTTACAAACCCATCAATGCATTACCAGTGATAGTCTTTATATCAAGTAGCATAAAGACAACCAGGAAATAAATTTATTAGAAGCACAGATTTCGATGTAAGAGTACGTGCTACATTTGCCATTTTCTTTCCTGCAACCACAAAAGAGAATTCATTTCATTCTTTCAACAAACATTCAGGACCTACTCTCAGCTAGGTACCCTTCTCAATATTTGGTGTATATCATTTAGCAAAATACCAGAACTTTGCCCTTCTGTATATTATATTCTTCTAGTGGAAAAATAGAAAAGGAATAACAGTACATAATCAAAAATATGCAATCAAATCAGAATATATTAGAAAGTGCTAAGTTCCATGAAAAAATATGAGTGAAACAAGGTAAGGATTATAAGAATTGGGAATGGGGTAGTGGTAGCAATTCTTAATGATATCAACAGGTAGGGGCTCACTGAGCATGTGAATCATAAATGCACACATTTTTCCTAAAGACAAAAGAAAAAAGCCAACACTAAACAGTAACAAGAATGCAGATAAAAAACCAACTATAGATCCTCAGCTGCTTAGAGCAATATAGAATAAACTGCCCCAATTCATAAATCATATTGGAAAAGGGAGGGAAAAGAACAAGATGAAAGAGGAAAGGAATTGAAAATGCACAAGAAAAAAACTCCTTGCAGGAGAAGGTCCTTTAATAATATGAAACAATATGATTTAATTTTAAGAGGCATGCTAGAATAAAAATTAGTAAGCTTATTTCAAAAATCTTTCAATTAGTATTCTAAGAAAACAGTTGCATTTGAAATTGTGCTATTCATAGGCAAACAATATAGACACTATTGAAAATGAAAAAAATTTTCAATGATTAAAAAGAAATTGATATTTCCCAGTTCATCACACAGTCTGTCCTTTTAATCAATAAACAATAAATCGCTTTCAATTTTAATTTCTAATATACTCACTGCTTAGTTAAACCTGAATACTTAAATATGTGATACACAAAGTGTAGATATTCAGATATCATGGGTAAATGTATAAAAATGTCTAATTTTAGGACTAATTACACTAGTACCTACTTATGGATTTCATTTTATTTATATACTAAATATTATGTACCTCGTATTAGGAGGTAACACAGGAGAAATAGGGACTACATACTCACATAACAGTGTCTTACTGATCGAGTTGTTTAGAAATGAAATGTGCCTTTTATCTATATGAACTTAACATATTCAGAAATGCATTATGCCTCACAACACCAACCCTAGACCTCTTCTCAAAGATTGGAATGATGGTGTTTGTATACCTTTCCGGTTTAATCCTGTGTGGAAGGCAAGTACAATGAATATGCTTCATTGTTATTAATTATAATTATTCTTCGTCAAGTACACCTACATGATGAATGAAAGCATAAGTGAAATTGTGAGTCATTTTTATGCCATTTGTGCAATAATTTCTCCACCTGTGCCATATCACTTCATCAATGAATATATAGAATAAATGTGCTGAAGATACAAAGTGAATTAAGTCCACTGATGTCATGCCAATAACACTAAGCTTCTTGAAAAAAGGAACAACAAAGTTGATGATATATAAAAGCAATAAATAAATAAATAAAAAGCAGTTTCTCCTTGAATTAAAACATGGACGCAGTTCAAAGAGCTGAGAGTCAGGTGCAATGTCATGCACAATCATACACATAAGAAATATGTTTTGTAATAATGATGCTGATTTATTACACACTTTAATGCAATCAGAGCATAATTTACATATGAAAGTGGCAAGTTTATCACAAAGTGAACAGACCCAATATGTCATAAAGAATACAGTGAAAGTGATAGTAAGTTCTGAACATTTTTTCAGAAAACTGATATTTAAATGATACTTGAAATAGGTCCAAATACACAAAAAAAGGAATAACACCACCAAAGGCCAGCCAGAGGGGTTAGTGCTACATTTCATTACTCAGTGAGGATCTCTACCTTTAATAGCCAGTTAGAGAACTAAGAAAAAAGTGAGTTTAACCGTTTAGCAAAAAAGTAAAATGAATTTAATTGGGCTAAAAGTGGTCAACCTCTCATTTTAAAACCACCAATTTGTACAGAGTTTCTTGAGCTGTTCTTGCAAATGAACTCTAACATGGAAGGAAAGCCAGTCCAAGAGGAAGGGGCCAGACCCAGGCTTTTCAGCCAACATACATTATACAAAATAGTGTATATAGAAATAAACATATGTAATTGTATATCTGTACTCACAGCAATATGATTCACAGAATAAAAGATGGAAGTCCTTGTACAGGTGAATAAATATACATACAATGAACTGATATTTAGCTTTAAAAAGGAAGGGAATTTTGATATATGTTACAATATGGATGAAACTTGACATTATGCTTAGTGAAATAAGCCAATTATGAAAAAAATGCTATACATGAGTCTGCTTATAGGAGATACCTAGACTCACACATAGAACAGAAATTTACAGAGACAGAAGAAAATTATTCCTGCCAGAGACTGGGAGAGGAGAGAGGGGAGAAGGGAAAAGGAAGATTGAGAGAACTATTGTTAGTGGGTATAGAATTCAGTTTTGCAAGATGAAAAGAGTCCTAGAGATTGATTGTCCAATGTGAAATGTACTTAAAACTACTGAACATACACTTCAAAATTATTATGATGGTAAATTTCATGTCACGGATATTTTACTACAGTAAAAATCTTATTACATAGTGTTATAATGCAGCTTTAAAATCTAATCAAATTATACATTCAAATATAAGTAATGTTTTGATCAAAATAATGCAACTTTTATAGGTAATATAACTCATAATGATATATACTCAGAACAAAGTTAAAGTTGTTTTTTTGCTCTTGAGAAAACCATAATACAAGCAATACAAGTAAGCATTTATCATTAAATATCAAGTTAAATTTAATAGTGAGAAAAATAATGTAAAACCCAGGAATTAATGCTATCAACAAACAGAATCCTGAACAAAAAGGGGGAAGGCTTAATATAAATAATTATGTTTAATTTTGTTATTCTATAAAATTAATATTTATTAGTAATTGCATTTGATATTGAGTTAATATTAATACATGATTACAGTTGTAAAAGGGGGAAAATATACTCAAAATGTTAAAAGCAACATCCTGGGTCTTGGTTAAGTTTGTTTTCATGTGGATTCTTTATTTAAATGCCTCCACTTCCTTTTTTGTTTTCCTTCAAGACAAGCATTTTACATTTACTCATGAATGTAATAGTTTTACTAATAACTTCTATGCACAAATAGTATGTACTTGACAGTGTGTAACATCAATGAATGAAGTAGACGTGTTCCTGACTGACATGCAATACCATGGGCAATACCAGATACCAATACATATGAAGACATTTCGGAGGGAACAGCATTGGATACAAGGAAAGAATACTGAAGAATACTACGGTGGTTCTTGGCTACCAGGACTCAGTCATGTAAATACACAGACAGGGAACTTTGTTTCAATCACAATGCTACCAATTTTGTGAATTTAGGCAAGTTTATTTAAAGTAACAAATGCAAACCTCTCAGAGTTCAATTGTAGCCTAAATTACAATTTCTGAAGAGCTTCTTAATTCTTCTCTTCTTCAGTCATTAACCAATACATAATCTTAGCTGCACCCCCCCCAAAACACTGCATAGCAAGTAAAAGAACATAACTAAGACATCCTTATCTTGGCTTCTTAGTTCATTTACAAAGACCACTACTTATTGTAAGCTAATGCAAATATTTAAAGAAATTAAAAGAGTGTTTTTAGTTAGGCAATTTACCAAATAATAAGATAAAACCTGTTGTATGAGGAACATTGAAGCTTGTAGCAACGATGGTTAAGGCTGTTAAACATCTCTGGTTTTCATAAGGTAAGAATCATCAAATCAGAATGTGTAGCAATGTTGACAGGTACCTCAAACTTAATCCCACTTGAATTAATGTATGTGAGGATTTCAGTTTAAG